TGGGTCTTGTGATCAAGTTGGTTTGAATTGTTTGTACGTAGGGTAGGATTGGTTTGCTTATTCCTCCAATGAACCTCAGTTATGCTCATCATGGCATAATTTTTGGAGGCATGTGGTGTCCTTCCCTTTCCACTTCCTGAAAATGTGCAGCCATCTTGTTTTTTGGGATAGTTAACCTTTCTAATATCACAGAACCTTACAAAAAAACTTGTCTTTTGAATATATGATATAGCTGTGTTTCTCCATTTTTTTTTCTTGCTGGCCTCCAAAAGCACTGGGTGAGAAGTCAACCAAATTGTCTTGATTACTTTACCCTTCCAACAATTTGTCGTTCTTCTTGCACCATTCACCAGCTTGTTTATAGCTGTTGTAAAAGCTAATAGGGGTCTATTTGGAAAGAAGAAAGTACCTATACACTTAAGAATACACTGATGCTGGTTTCTGTTCATTGTGTAGTCGCAGGAGTCATCTTAATCACACATATTTAGCTAAACTCTCTACCTACATTTTGCGAGCATGGGCATCAGTGCTGGGTGCCGACACTGATATGTGATGTCCAACATGTCAACTTACAAAAGCCTAGACATGAGGACACTACAAATGTGGGTGTTTTATAAGGATAGAGATCTACGTATGTTTGAACACAAATTTGCCTCAGAAAACAACCATATATAAAATCAAAGTAAATAGAAATTAGAAATGATGTCTAATTTTCTTGAAAAGAAAAGAATAATATCTCAATCATTAAGCACCCTCTCTGACTGCATAAAGTTGAATTCCTTTCAAGTATCCAAAGGAGTGTTGGAAACTGGAAGGACATGGGTTTCATTTCCTCAGGTGCCCTGACATGGAAAAAATTTCATGGAAGAAGTGTCCTACAAATCATAGCATTTTAAAGTTTTTCCCCACTTACTGACAGGTGGATGCTTTAACAACTAAGCGGGGGAAAGAAGGAGGATGGGTTGTTGAACGGCTATTGAACCAGGTAAAAAATTTGTGAAGGCAGTGTTGAACTGACTGCTTATAATCTCACTCGTTTTCATTCATTTATGGATACAATGAACTGACTTCTTACAACTGCAGTTACTTATAGAGTTAGATGGTGCTGAGCAGCGGCGGGGTGTATTTGTTATTGGTGCCACTAATAGGTAAGACTCATTGTTCATTCTTCAGTTTTGGCGGTGATGATTATCATTATGCATTTCTTACATGCTGTTATACCTTTTGTCAGACCCGACGTCATGGACCGTGCTGTTTTGCGGCCCGGAAGGTTTGGTAAACTTATCTATGTCGCCCCACCCACTAAAGATGAGCGTGGTTTAATATTAAAAGCTCTTGCGAGGAAGAAGCCTATAGATGCCAGCGT